AACGAAGCGGTTCAGATTGAATGGTCTTCCAACCCGTTGGGAACCGCGCTGAGTTCTTGTGCGGCAGGCGCCAGGATAGCGCGGCGAGTTACGATGACAATGTGATAGTTTTCTAATGACATTTAGACTTTTATCGCCACGAGAAAGGGTTTAATTGCCAGCAAATGGTTGACTATAAAAGAAGAAAACTCAATAAGGGTGTTTTTCGATGAAATATGCCAATAGAAAACCGCAGGAAGATGAATTGCCTGTCAACGATGACACAGTAAATAACAAAGCGATGCCATTTCACCAACAATTCGCAGCATTTTTATCGTTAGTGGACCCAAGGAGTTAAGACTTCTATAGAATTGTATGAAAGACATTGTTTTATTGTCTTGAAGGAAATAACTCGTGGTCACTTAATTGATCCGTCTTCACCGAGTTCCTTTTCATTGTGGTGATCCCAGTGCTTTGAGCATTCAATTCGTTTTCTTCTTGAACGTTCTGAGATACTGGTTGAGCAAGTTCCATGCAATCTCGAGGATAGCCTGGCTGTGGCGTTCCATAGGGCGTTGCTGCTGACTGCCGGAGAGTGTTAAGGGTGGAGTTCGGCCCCACACGCGCCGTGACGAGCATCACAAGCACTCGGTCATGATGCCTCCATAGGTAATAACATCCATCCACATTTACTGTGAACATTTTTACAGTTGCAAATAGAAACAACGTCAATCCGTTACTGAAAAAAGGCCGCATTTTTAGGAGGGAAACCATGGCTTACAAAGTGGTTACAAGTCGTTCTCAACACTGAAATAGTTTATATGAGTCCGTACCATGATAATTCGTTTTTCCAACACAACAAAGTCTTCTTAGGATCAGAATTCCCCCACGTGATATCAGAAAATCCGCTGCAAAATTAAGATGACGCAGTGTTATAGAGTGATCTGCAAAACTTCAGCGCCAGGCGGGACTAGAACCCGCACCTCACTCTTTCCGGGAATGCGTGCTCTATCTGTTACACTACTGACGCGCATTTTGCACATCGCTCTTTCTACGCTAATGCGCATCTATCTGTCAGCCGCCAGCCGTCAATGGCCTGACCCGGGTAGTCGGTCTCGTCATGGAGCTCAGTCACCATGACAGATATTGGGTATTATAGATCAAGAACAAGAGCAATGTGCAAAATGGGCGTCACTAGTGTAAAGGATAGAGCACGCATTCCCGGAAAGAGTGAGGTGCGGGTTCTAGTCCCGCCTGGCGCTAAAGTTTTGCACATCACTCTATAACACTGGGTATAAATCTATGTTATCTTCTATCTCATTAGAAAAACAGATAGTCTAAAGGTCGTTCCGCACAACCAGCTCAGTACCAAAATTGGCATTTCTCAAGATATCGAATCACTATAAAAACGCAGACTAAAGATAAATAAAGAAACCAGCGTAAACAAATGTCGTACAACATACCGAACAATGTTTTGGTAAAAAAGCACCGACGCACGATGGTGCAGCGGTTAGCATACGCTCCCGGAAAGAGTGAGATCTGAGTTCGAATCCCAGCTGACGCAAATGTTTTTACACAGCACTACACATTATTGGGTATACTGTAACATCATACCACCGCAAGTGACGGTCAAATAAAAGGAATTCTGTCCTACAACGGCTTCAAATACGTTCTTTTTTTTTTTATTATGCAATTTTTGAACTACTAAATTTAGAACTTTTACAACATATGGACATTCTTTATACTAAAAAAGAAAGCTTTTATATAAGTTTCTTCCATGATGATCTATCATTTAATAGTGCTAAATCCCTATCAAAATGTGAATTCACAGGAGAACTTCCCACATTACCATTGCTGCCTGCGCAAATACAAAATTACCGCCGCGCGGCGTGGCGAACCGTGGTACGCATACACTGCATGTATACACATATATACATATGTACATGTCTATATACGTGCACGCGTGTATATATACACGTATATACACGCAAACAGACGAGCATACGTATGTACGCACCTATGTACATACCTACATACATAAGCATAGATATACACATATTCACACGCACAAACACTTACGTATACAAATCCACGTGTATATACGCCTGTACATACGCACATGTGCGAAAATGTACACGTCTGTACATGTATATGCACGTGTGAATGTGTACGTATACATATGCACACGCATGTACGCATAATCATACCTGAACACTCAAATTTATATATGTACACCTCTAGATCTATACACATACGAACACATTCCTATGGAATACACGCAGATACACATGTGTATACACGTATATACACGTAAACACGTACGTGCGTACGTACGCACCTATATACATAAGTACATACATAAGCATAGATATACACATATTCACATGCGCATACACACATATATATACAATTATACGTGTATATACCTCGCACACACGCACATGTGCGAAGATATACACATGTATGCACATGTATATGCTCGTGTGAATGTGTACATATAAATATGCACACGCATACACGTATAAACGTACTTGTACACGTAAATCTATATATGTACACCTCTGGGTTTATACACATACAAACACATTCCTATAAATACACGCATATACACACGTATGCATATATACTTGTACGTGCATGTGTACATATGCATATGTACGCACATATGTATACATAGATGTGCACACGTGTTATATATAACCATGCTGTTCCCTATGAGTTGACCTTTCCGGAACCTCGGCTTAACCCTCTGGGTCTCCAATTCCCAGCGTGTTGCTCCTAACAATGGAGCGTGATACGTCTAACCATCACGAGTCCAACCTACAGCGTGCCACTGTTGGCTTGGCCGCAGCACGCTGAGGTTAGAGACCCAGGGGCTAGGTGAATGGTTTTGAAAGGGTTGACCCAAATATTTTCTCAAGTCGTAAATCTAGACGATCTTGAAACAAGCTCAGTTCGTGGAAAGGTCTTCATTGAGCACTTAATGAGCGAAAAAGAGATTACGTTTCGCAATCCTAGATTTAGGTTTGAAAGAGGGTTTATTTCGTATTATGAAATGGGAATATGATACTAGTCTGGACCTATAGAACCACAAAACAAGGTTTTTTCGTAGGAATCTAGGACGGAAAACCCAAAAATTACTCAGAAACGTAAAAGGGAACCTCAGATAAGTAACGATAATAGGTGCGATAACGAGCGCCGAGTGCGAAACAAAAGCTTATTTTCGCCGCTACAGCTCACTGAGGAGGCCTTCGTAGGAGACAAGCACAGCGCTAAAATCTTCGAGATTTGAGCTATCGAAAGATTAATGAAGGTATGAAAAAAAGAGGAAAAGAACTTGTCCTCTAAATAGTTTAAAAATGGGTTCAGATAACAGAAAAGTACCAAAATAAGCTAAAAAGAACATGAAAATGGAGCATGAAAAAGAACAATAAGAAATATAAAATCAGAAAAAAAAACACCTTAAATGTGAAACCCACCGATCGTCAGTTGAGCCACACGGACGAGCTGATTTCGCGAAAACATTGCCGCCGACGCTCCTCGTCCTGGGTTACCTTCAAAGGTCTTCGAATCAAACGACGACAGACCCAAGCCCTATCTCCCTAACCAGTGAAATCACTCGAAGCACTGAGAGAACTAACCATACAAATGACTTTTCTTTATTATCTCAAATTGATTTCTGATCTCTTTATGAAGTTCTTAATATTCTTTTGATGACTCAAAGGTGGCAAGAATATCGTCGTTGTGCACCAAGTAGATCACCTTCCCACAGGAATACCACTTTATACGGCATATTGTAACGGGAGAGGGGATTATGCAGAGTGAGGATAGCCTTTTGCGGACGATGAGGGTCATTTTGACCCCACAATTCCGGAGATTTTTTTCGCTGAATGAGGCTTTTTATACAAAACTTGATTAAATTCGGAAGATGTAGAGTGGTGTGCAAAAACGTTTGCGTCAACCGGGATTTGAACCCAGACCTTACTCTTTCCGGGAACGTAGAAAGAGTGGAGTGCAAAGCGAGCGTCAGTGGTGCAACGGTTTAGCACATGCTCCCGGAAAGAGTAAGATATGGGTTCAAATTCCGGCTGACGCAAACGTTTTTGCACACCATTCTACATCATTGGGTTTATTGAAAACATTACAACACCGCGATAGGCGGTCAAATAAAAATGCTTTCCAATTAAATTCGGAAGCGCTTGAATCTTGAGAATTCTGACACTTTGCCTGCTTTTGAAAGGCCTTTGGTACACATTGTATCAGCAGAAATAAAATCATGTTACACACTCGCTCGTTTTATTTGCTCAACTAAAGTCTGCGGATCGTTTTTATTGGACTGCACTAAGTCATTCGATAGCCCAAATCTCGACGAATTTCAAGCTTGAAGTGGTTCTCGAAAAAGCTTTCATAGAGGATCAAGAGAGCGAAAATATGATTACATTTCACATCCGGAATTTTCTTCACACGTGGGAGTCACATATGCACAAAAACTGTATAAATTTGAAAAGGAAATCCCGTTCTATCAGAGTGATACAAAAAATCCAAAGCACTGCCTGAAACAAAGAAAAAAAAAACTTTGTTGAAGAACGAAAATCGCGCGTGACTGGCAATATCGAATTGATACCGTTTGTAAAGGGATATTCGATATTGCCAAGCGCGCGATTTTCATTCCTCAAACAAAGATTTTTTCCTTGTTTCGCGAAATGCTTTGGATTCTTTGTACCACTCTGATAGAACGAGATTTCCTCTTCAAATTTGTATAATTTTTGTGCATATATAACTCTCACGTGCGAAGAAAATTCCGAATGTGAAACGTAATTAAATTTTCGCTCTCTTAGTCCTCTATGAAACCTTTTCGAGGACCACTATAAGCTTTAAATTCCTCAAGATTTGGGCTATCAAATGAGCTTAGTGTAGTCCAATAAAAAACGATCCATAGACTTAAGCTGAGCAAATAAGACAAGCCGAGTGTGAAACATAAAATCATATACCCATTGATGTAGAGTGATGTGCAAAACTCTCGCGCCAGGCGGGATCAGAACCCGCACCTCATTCTTCAAGGGAATGCGTGCTCTATCCGTTACACTACTGACGCCCGTATTGCACATCGCTCTTTCTACGTTACAGCTCATCTATCTGTCAGCCGTCAGACGTAGAAAGAGCGATGTGCAAAATGGGCGTCAGTAGCGTAACGGATAGAGCACGCATTTCCGGAAAAAGTGAGGTGCGGGTTCTAGTCCCGCCTGGCGCTAAAGTTTTGCACATCACTCTACATCAGTGGGTGTCTATTTGAAAAATCATCACACCGCTAGAAGCGGTTAAATAAAAAGAATTTCATTTGATCAACATCAAATTATTCTTGCAGTTACAGCGGCGTTTTGGGGGCGACTCAGCCGAGCGGCTGTAACGCTGGTCGCGGCGCGCGTGAAGCCGAGTTCCATCCTTTACGTCTCTCCGGCGGTCAACATGAACGTCCTACGGAAACGCCGCAGCAAGGCTATCCTCGAGATTGCAAGGAGACTCGCTCAACCAGTTTTCCGCGTCGTTCAAGAAGAAGACGAATAATCGAATTGAAGGCTAGAAGTACTGGGATCCATACGGTAGAAAAAAAAAACACTGCGATGACGGATCAAATAAAGTGCTAAAGCAAATTTTATAAAGGCGTTTTCCATAACGAAGCAAAGTGAAAAAGCGAATCCGCTTGAATTGGCAAAATCGATGTGAATGCGAAATGTTTTGCTTTATTATTAGTACATTTATCTCGAGTGCTTTGTTTAGACCACGCTCAAATTTCAATATATCCTTTACATGTTGGCTCAAATAATAATGAAAGGTCTATTGAAATTTGAGCGTGGTCTAAACAAAGCACTCGAGATAAAGGTATAATTATGATAAAAGTACCAGCCAATGAGCAATCGAGTGCACAACACTCTGTGTTAGGTGAATGTTTCACTTGACACAGAGTGTAAAGCGTACGTCGTCGATGACTCTCTATAAGGAGTGTGACGCTCCCGAGAGAACTGACTATGAAAAGATCGACAGACGACGGGTTCTGCCCGGCTGATGAGTCTGTAAGGACGAAACACGTGTCTCGGGCTGTACAAGAGCCCTTACCACACCACATGACATGTTGGCTCAAATAATGATGAAAGGATTTATTATTAGTAGCACGTACTCTGGAAATCTTTCCACTCAACAAGCTCATTATGGAGGTCAAAATTTTTCAAGCTATAATTGACAAAAAAGATCGAGAAGATAAAAGAAATGTTCAAAAATACCCATTGAATTAAAGCAATGTGCAAAACTTTCGCATCAGGCGGGACTAGAACCCGCACCTTACTCTTTCCGTGAATGCGTGCTCAATCCGTTACACTACTGAGGAGCCATTTTGCACATCGCTCTTTCTACGCTTCAGCGCAACGGATAGAGAACGCATTCCACGAAAGAGTGAGGTGCGGGTTCTAGTCCCGCCTGACGCGAAAGTTTTGCACATTGCTCTACATCAATGGGTATATATTTGAAGCATCATACCACCGCCAAAGCGGTTAAATAAAAACAAATATCATTTGTTCAATAATAACTGGATATACCGAATTTTTAATGGAGCACGCAGCACTCTTCGTAATAGTCCAAACGGCACGCCCAGGCGAGGGTCATAATAACCCTCATCGCTCGCAAAGGGTTAAAAATTAAGCCGTTTAGATATTACACCGTTCGTATCGAGTATTTTCTTGAAATCACGCTCAAATTTTCGTCTAATTGATAATTACTGTTTGAGCTAACAAGTCATGTGGTCTCCTATGGGCACTTGTACAATCCGGCACACGTGTTTCGGCCTTGGCAGCCTCTAGTGATTTATTTCGGATTTTTTTCAGCTAAAAAAACACCTCTGAAAATTCGAGGGTCAAAATGACCCTCGTCGTCCGCAATGGGTCAGTCCCGAGAGTGTCGGGGTGGGGGGGAGGGGGAGGAGGGGTTCCAGTGGGAAAAACAAAAGATGAACAGCAGGACGATTTTTGACGCGACTGAAATCGACCGGGGAGACAATATGTACGCGGCGAATTTGCTCTTTGGTCGTGGATCACGATGTAATGTGTAGTAAAGAATAAAAAAACCATTCAATTGATAAACAGGTGTTTGTTAGGGTGCCGGTGGAACGCAGCAGAAACTCAGGGTGGGGCTGATCCAAGAGGAAAAAGTGCCAGAGGTCCCCTCGAGGGGATAAATTCCTCGATGAAAATGGGTTTAGCCACGGATACGGGCAGGGCTTGATCCGCTTGGACGTGCGGTCGACCCGCCCACGCGTATTCAAAACTTCGGGTACGACTTTTTCCCAAGAGAGAAAAAAGGCCGACAGGAACTCCCTAGGAGTTCGAGGCTCCTGTCTGGTTGACTGTCTGAGGGGGTTTAGTGGTAGTAGGTACTAGCATGTCAGATATCCTTGCCGCTAGATAGAACGGGTCCGTATCGATTTCAGCCTTGATCTACCGGCTCTATTTGCCCAGACGAAGTGTATTGCCCCCGAGGGGGTAAAATTCCTTGATGAAAATTAAAGTCGTTACAGATACGGGCAGGAATTTATCCGCAAGCACGTGCGATCGATCCGTCGGGTACGAGGAATCAAGGAAAACAAACAAACAAACAAAATCAAGGAAAAAAGCCCTACAGGAACTCGCTGAAAGTTTGAGCCTCCTGTCTGGGTGTTTAGTGGCAAAGTACTAGCATGCGAGATATATTTGCCGCTAGATAGAACGGATCCGCATCGATCGCGCCCTTGATCTACCATCTTTATTTGCCCAGAAAGTGCCCAGAACCTGCTACAAACAGAACCCACTACTCATTTACTAATCAATTATTTATTAGCTTAACCACTGGTGGGCGGGCGGTTTTTTTACTCTCTCGACTGAGACTGAACCTTGGTGACTGTCTGGCGCAACGGGAAGTTTACTCTCGTCGCGGGAAAGCCGTAATCCCGCGTGGGAAACGAGTTCTGAACCCTTCAGCACCCACTTGGGAGATCACCCAGTAGTGATCTACGGCTACCTAAGAGTCCGATAAGAACCCAGTGCGTAAAAAAAAGTGAGGAAGCAAGGTGAGAATAGCGTGCTCCATTTGAAGAGCAGGGTGCTAATGCAACAATTCCGTGACGTGGAGCGACGAATGACCGCGGAGCGTGTCAGTCCCGCACTGCCGTACCAATCCGGAGAGCGGCGGAGGCTACCTGAAGTATCCTGTTGGGGCTGATCAACCAAGGGTTAATCCGGGTTAAAAGTGACCCGGATACCTCATGAAATCCTCTCCACTTGTCTGAATGGATGGTTTATTTGTGTACATGCCCCCCTCTGAGCTCCCTTTAGTCCATTGAGTGTAATCCTTACGGGACCACGGACCCAATCCTCTGCGTCTGTAGTCCCCAGCGTGCTGCGTTCAAACAATGGCGTCTAGCCCCAGCGTCCTATTGTTAGACGCAGTACGCTGTGGGTTGGAGACACAGAGGATTGGGTCCATGGACCCGTAGGGGATAGCGACATCTTTTCCCATCGATTCTTGCTCGTAATGTCGTCAATGTTCTAAAGTTGAGGGGTTTTTTATTTTGAAAAATCGAAACACGAGACTGTTATGGTAGCATTTACCCGAACAGGTGATGGTTCGTCTGATTTGGTCGCCTTAGAAACCTGGGAAGGACCAGGTCGTGCGTGCATTCCCCCCCCCCCCCTTAAGCAGACGCCTCCTTAACCCTTTAGGGTTCGTGGACTCACCCCCTATAACCCTAACCTCCAGCTTGGGAGCGCGTTGAATGTATTACTTTTTTTGTTTATTTCGATTTTATTTTATTTTCCTATTTATTGCCACTGCTTTCAATGGTATTATTATTATTATTATTATTATTATTATTATTATTATTACTATTATTTTACTATCTCAATTTTTTTTGTTGTTGCTTTCCTATATTATATAATATGTAAATAAATTATGTTGCTATAAGTAGGGAAATATCGGCAATTATGCAATTGTAATAATACAATGATATATCCTATGCGTTCTCATGCTGAGGCTAGAGACGCAGAGGAGGTGGAGCAGACCGTCAAACGTTGCCCCGCTGGCGGTTAGAGAGCGGAGGAGGTGTGTCCGCGGTCTCGAGAGAGCTAACTCCAACAAAAGAAACATCATCAAGCCCTCAGGAGGGTGTTGAAGTAATGGCGGTGTTTGGTTGACTGAGGGGTTGTAGACAACCTCTAACTCTTCCCATAGACTCTGAAGACGATAAAATCCATGCCTAGACGTCAGCTGTTCAGATGAATCTCCTTATGAAAACCTCGTATTTTTGGCCCATTAGACCTATATTTTTGACCTTTTGGCTGCTGGGACCTTAGGCGGACTTCGAACCCGCGTCTCCCTCTTTCTGAGAGCGCGCGCTAACTACTGTACAACAGGGGACTGCTCGTCTGCTATCACTTAACATACTATCATCTTTTCATTTCATTTTTCCCACTTTTATCGCACTTACAGTACATGCATTGTATATGTAACCGGGTATCCAGGTTTTTGTTAACGCTTTCGGGACCGTAGACCCACCTCCTCTACGTCTCTGACTCCCAGGGTGAGAGCGTATCGAGTGTATTATTGTGTTATTTCAATTCAATCGTAGAAATTGATGTTATATATGTTGTTATAGCTATGTGTAGTTATAACTGTTGCAGTGATACAAATGAAAAAATTCGATAGTACACGCAGTGTGTTCCCACGCTGGGAGTTGGAGATGCACAGGAGGTGGGTCCACGGTCCCCGAAAGATGATATGCTGGGTCCATGGTCTCCGAAAGGGGATATGGTGGGTCCACGGCCCCCGAAAGGGGATATGGTGAGTCCACGGTCGCGAAAGGGGATATGTTTTCTGGTGATTTCGGCTCCCGTATTTATTCTCGGAGGGCGGTTAGATAAAGATTTTTCTCTCTTTTTGCCCTCGAACTCTCCCCACATGGAAGTTTTATCAGTCACAAATTTTTCATGATTATAGTAACCTCTTTGGATTCAGTCTTCTACAATACCTTCTTCATTGTCTTTGTCTTCTCCTCCACCTCCCTGTTCTTCTTTC